TGCAGTTCACACCATCTTACATCACCCGGCAAAAGGGCATCAGTGGGCTGTAGCAGTTACAACCGTGGATTAGAACTGCAGACACCCAGGTTCAAATATCCACCCTCTGGCAGGATACGTGCAGGGGGAAGAGACATTGAGTTCTTGCACATTTAATAGTTGGGCAGAAAGGGGATTCTTTTCCAGGCTCAGCTTGTTGGGCACAGATGAAAAAGGCTACACTTGTTTTACTCAACTATTTAAACATATAGAAAGTCTCCCCCCCCCACGCCTGTGGCTACTTTTAATAATCTACCATAAATTCTTCTCTCTCACGCACACACTCAGTTTGGTGCAGTGGTTAGGAGTGCAGACTAATCTGTGAGAACCGGGTTTGATTCCCCACTCTTCCACATGCAGCTGCTGGTGTGACCTTGGGTCAGTCATAAGTTCTTTCAGAGCTGTTCTCTCAAGAACAGTTCTCAAAGAGCTCTCTCAGCCCCACCTACCTCACAGGGTGTCTGTTGTGGGGAGGGGAAGGGGATTGTAAACTGCTCTGAGACTCCTTCGGGTAGTGAAGGGTAGGGTATAAATCCAAACTACTACTACTACTACTACTACTCTTCTTCTTCTCCTCTCTCAATTCTCATGTAGTCTGCATTTCTGTAAATATGTCTGGTTCTTTAGTAGAAGAGTAAGATAATAAGAATTCCATACATTTTACATTGGTTTGCTTTATTGCCCTTATATTGTATTTTTAGTGGGTTGTAGCAAAGTAAAACAAAAATCAAGCTGTATCTCTAAGACTGACCAAGTTTATTCTAGGCTTTGGTCAGTCAGACTTCACTTCTTCAGATGCACTGCGTGTATTAGACTGTTCGTACTGCACTGCTGTTAGCTGTAATCCACCTTGAGACCCAGCAGGAAAGATGGAGTACATAAAAAAATAAATGTAGGGCATCACGTTTCTATGTGGGACACAAAGCATTCACTTGAGCTTTATTGTGTTGACAGTCCCAATAGCCCTTCACAACACTACTTGGGAGTAAAGAATCTTTCAAAGAAAACTCTTGGACCAGAGACCAACTGACTGCTTGCATATAATCCTGCATGACTGCCAATCAGATTCTCAAGACAAAAACACTCATGGACCGCAGCCAGGCACAGGAGCGTCACAGAACACAGCCAGCACAAAGATTCTGGACCTGTCTGGCTAAGCCACACACAGGTGCTGGGAAGCTTGGAATCTGTGACGGGTACTGGAGGATTACTTTTAATCAAGCATTACATAAGTGGTCTGTCAGAAACCTTTACTTATTGAAAACATTTCGAAGGCTGCGGTCACACGGAACAGTAGCCACGCTAGTGAGACGGAAGTCAGGTGCATTTTCCGGGCGCGATCTCACCGGCACATCTGGGAAGTGTAGCACTCCCGTGGCTCAGCCGAGGCTTCCCAGCAAAGACGCGCGGCAAAAAACTAGTACCTCGGAGGTACTAGTTTCC